CAAGGTTAGTGGGTGCATGGGCCATTGGAGGTCCATGAAAATAGTGGGATTTTAGAAGCCTAAACTCGAGATAAGTGTGTGGAGTTGAGCATGCGCTTGACAAAGGAGATGCAGTTACGGGCTTAAGTAGCACATGCTGGAAGAAAAAGGAAGGAGAGTCGCACAAGCAGGGATCTGTTCAGGTTGGCCTGGGGTCTTAATGACCAAGTGAGCAATTTGATGATGAGAGGTGGGGTGGGAGGAAAGGGCATCAATAAGAAGCTCCTAGGTGCTTTACTTGCAAGGAATTGAATCTAGGACGAGGGTGATGGTTATTGGGAATTTTCTCAAGGAATTGAATCCAGAGGTACTTTACTTGCAAGAGAAAAAAGATAGAAAGGTTGGATGTTGGGGTATTTACAATTATCTAGGGACCTAGGCCTTGTGAATGGAAATTCATTCTTACCAGAGGCACTGCAGGGAGGTGTTAATGGTGTGGGATTCTAGGGAGTTGGTGGCTATAGGCAAGGAGGTAGGGCAATTTGCTTTGTCTGTGCAATTCCAAAATATCGAAGGTTTTAAGTGGTTGACCACAGTGTATGGGCCAAAAGACAATGCTCAAAGAGAAGCCATGTGGGACGAGATTAATGGCATGAGGATCAAGGTGGAGTTTCCATGGGTAATAGGTGGTGATTTTAACACTGAGGTTCTGTTAATGAGAAGAATAGGGGTCCCACAAAAATAGAGGTATGAGGTAGTTCGCAGATCTGGTGGACAAATGAGAACTCATCAATCCGCCTTTTGCAAGACCATATTTCACATGGTCAAACAACCAGGATTCACCAACTTTGGTTCAACTAGCAAATTCCTTGTATCTAGCCAATGGGAGGACGAGTTTCTTGATGTGAGGCAGGAAGGATTACCTTAACCTGTCTCGTATCATATGCCAATATTAATGAGCTGTTGTAGGAGACCAAGGAAGCAACCTCCTTTCAAATTCGAGCACTTGTGGCTGGAAGTTCAAGGTTTTTTTGCATTTGTTGGACAAGTGGTGGAAACCTATTGAATTTAAGGGGTTGGTGATGCAGTACAGCCCTCTACAGAAACAGAGGATACAGCAGAACAATTTTTGGAAAAATCTGAGCATCCCAAATTTACTAAAAAATATCAGAAGAACTAAGACTGGCAGCAGTTTCTAATTTATAGCTACGATTTTCTTGTTTAGAAAATTGTTAGCCAATTACTATTTTGAAGTTTATCTATTTTCTGCTTTCTCTTTTAGGAGTTTCCATTTTTTTTTTGTTTCTATTTTCTTGAGTTTCTAATTTTAAAGAGTATTAGGATTCTAATTAGGAGTGAACTACAGATTCACTATGTAAATCTGTCCAGAACAGCAGAATTGAATGATAATTGAGTGTGTTAATTTCTTCTCTATGGCTACTTTCTTCTCTTGAAATCATTGTTGGAGGAACATGTGGTTTCTTCTATCTTTTGATACTTTCTAGTAGTTCTCTGCTACTATAAGAAAACCAGAAACTATCCTCTGGATTTTCCATTTTTCCCCTAGATTCAGAGCATACTTTGTTGGACTTTGAAGCAAGGCTACCCGTCGACCTTGCCTTCTAGTTCTACCTACCAGTAATACATCAGTTGGCCAGTTACATTATGAGCACACACAGAGTTGAAAGGTTTGAAGCTTAAGATTAAAAAAAAAAAATGGAAGAGTGATGTCTTTAGTGGTCTTAAAAGAAAGGAGTGTACAAGGGTCATCAAGTTCCAAGATGGGAAAGAAGAGGGAAATTTTAATCAGTAAAAACAAAGGGAGAGGAGATGTGCCAAGCTGGAATATGATAGATTGGTTTATCAGGAGGAGATGAAATGGAGGCAAAGGTCAAGAGCCATGTGATTGAAAGAAGAAGACCAAAATACAGCTTATTTTCATAAAATTGCCAATACTAGAAGAAGAGAAAACCCAATTCTCAAAATTGAGGTGAGTGGAATGATTTTACATGATAAAACCAGCATCCAAGAAGCTATTATGAGGTAGTATGAAGTGTTATACAAGTAGAAATGGAGGACCAGGCCAAAGCTAAGGGAAGTGCAATTTGATAGGCTTCAAGAGGATCAAGTCAAGGAGCTTGAGGGGGCTTTCACAGAAGATGAGGTTTTGGAAGCTATTAATGAGGTGGAGGGGGATGATGCCTCAGGCCTAGATGGCTTCACCATGAAATTCTACAAGGTATGTTGGTCCTTCTCGAAGCAGGATATCATGAGGGTGTTTGATGAGTTCTATGTGAACTAAAGGTTGACTAGAAGTCTAAAACACTCCACATTTATTACCGTCATACTGAAAAAAGGAGTGGTGAACATTAAGGACTTCCATCCCATTAGTCTTATTGGCAGTGTATAAAATAATCTCTAAGGTCCTACCCAAAAGGTTGACGAAGGTGATGGGGTGTGTGAGTTTGCAAACCAAGGGGCTTTTTGTAGAAGGGAGGTAGATTGTGGATGGCAATCATGACATGACCCAACCCTTGCTATTTTTCCTTCTTTCTGTGACAAATCATTTCATCTCCTTTTTCATTGTGCTCTTCCATTCTGACTGGCAGCCAAAGAAAATAGCTCCATCCAAAAATACTTCAAACATAATAACATCTCTCCATTCATGAAGATGGTTGCCTTTTGCCAAAAACTTCCTCCACTTCATTGCCAGTGAAAACTCCATTCTTTCTCAAATACTCCCAATGACTTCATGGAAATCTCTGATTTCTTTTAGTAGCATTGAATCCTAAATATGAGGTAATATAGATTCCATAACCAGGGAGAATTTACAGTTCTTTAATTTGTTGAGTTTAAAGGGAAAGATTTGTAAAATACTAATAAGGAGTGAAGATACAAATATTATAAGTGGCAAACTGAAACTTTCACTCCTCAAGCTAAGCTATCTTCTATCAGGTTATTAACATACATATGGTTAAAATGTTAAATACATTTCTTCTTTATCCACCTTCCATCTATCTCTAATTACCAGAGAATATCCTCCTTAACCTCTCCATCTTATGGATAATTAAGGCAAGATACTGAAACTTCATCACTATTAGGTATCTCTTCAACATTGATCTTAACTAAGTCTAATTTTACTACTATATTTACTAAATTCTAAATTCTAAATTCTATGTATTTTAACTTATTTGAAATCTCTGGACTCTAGGCTTCCTCATAATTCTTAGTGTATACCCCCTTTCCGGTCTCATCAATTAAAAATATTTCCAGTTAGGAATGGGAATAACATACCACAAGCATCCTCCTCTTCTATATGCATGTCAGAGACTTATTGCAAATAGAAAAAAGAATTAAATGTGGATACTTGATAGAGGCATATTGTAAATAGAAAGCTTAAACACCTTCCAGCAATAGTTGTCCCCTTTACATATCCTTAATTGCAGAAGTATATCCAACAAAAAAACCCTTGCTTTCTCAAATCCCAGTAAATGGCCTCTCTAGGGAGTAGGGACTCCATTTTCTCTTTGTAGATAACAACTATGTGAAGATTCTGTTTTCTCTAAACTTTCCCATCAATTACCTAAGAAAATAGCTACAAAATCTACTGCACTGCATAAATTCAAATTGGTTTTCTAATATCCCTCCAAAAGATAGGTGAATGTGTATACATTTATTTTTAAAATAAGGAAAAAAAGACATTGTGTGTCAACAATGAAAGTGCATATCATGCATCTTTGTGCGCAATATTGAGATAAACAGAGATAAGCAGACAGGCTTCTAAACAATACATCATAAAGATGATTTGGCATGTTCTGACATAGCAAAAATCTTTAGGGAACAATGTTGTTCATGTATATATGAAAGATATGGATCCATTCCAAATCAAACTGATAAGTCTGAGAGCATATCAGAGAAATTGAGCTACTTCGAGGGAGCCCTAGACAGAGAGAGAGAGAGAGAGAGCGAGGGGGAAGCAGAAGAGGAGAGAATTGGAGGGAAGTTTCTTGTTATTCCTCCTTGAGTTCAAACAGCTACTTATAGCCTCAAACATCCATTTCTATTGAGAATAACAACCCAGTAACTAACTGTGTCGACATGTTCTTCTAGAATATACATATTTAAGAGGTGACTTGTAGAAGACTTCTCGGTGAGTCAGGATTTGAGTTGGGTCCTGGATCTGGGCTGAAGCTGAAGTGTCTGGGCCCTGCTGCCTCATTGATCTCTGGGTTCTACCACAAGCACTTTTTATGCCCCATAATAGAAACCATAGCAGTTGCCTCTCTTCCACTGTCACTAAGAGATTAATTTACTAGTTTTCAGTATATCTTTTAGACATGATTAGTGAGAACACTAGATGAATCAGATTGTGATTGGACAAACATCCATTGAACAAAGAATGTTAACAAAACACAAGATAAAGACAAGGTCAACTTAATTTTGTCAAGTCCCTTAGATTGATCTAAAAGATCATTTCCCTATTTAGGTTTACCTAAATAGATAGTTCAGAAGATAACTAGATAGGCAAACACCATATAATCACCAGGTCCCAACCATCCCATCAGCAAGGTGAAATGAATGTACAACAGAGAACTTTCTAGGTGCATTTTTCTTTTCATGCCTGAACAAACTATATTTCGATCTAATTTGCACATCTTATATTGACATGTATATTATATAATTCAGCAAGGTTTTTAAAACCGAACCGGACAACAAACCAGTCAGGGGTCCGATTCTCAGGTCAAACAGTTCAACCGTTCGAACCGAACGGATGGCCCGTTCTGACAAAAAAATAAAAACCGGTCGAACCATTGAACGATTCAACGGTTCAACTGCCCGGGTCAGTGGTTTGCTGACCAAATCAATGGTTTTTGGGGAAATAACGGTTCTGGAGTAAAACAAAACCTGACCGGTTCCTGGTTTTTCCGGTCCAATCCGATTTTGAAAACCATGTAATTCAGTCTTTTTCCCATTTAACCAGTTCAATGTCCCCTGTTAGCATTTCCCACAGAACTTCATACCTCATGCTGTTGCTTTCGAGAATAATCACGCAAAAGAGACTTTACAAGCTTATTCCGAAGCAATATCTTGCCATCAGTGCAATGGAGAAAAATAAAAGATGAAAGGTGGTGTAGTGCCAATATAAATGTAACCGATCTACGAGTTGCAGCTCTGTCAAGCGCCCCCGAAATCCATGACTTCATATATGCCTCCAGAATCTGTTCATTATCCTGAAAAGCAGTTGAAAGGTTGATTTATAAGCAGTTCTTTTCCAAACACCAACAAAAGCTATTACTTCAGAATTGTCAAGCTGATGCAACTCATGCTTTAGTTTTCTAGGGAAGGGAAGAAAAAGATAGGAATATATCTCCCACATTCATAATAGTCATGTTGCTTTTGTTGAACTCATCTAACTTAACAGAGAACTGAATGGACCCCAGATGGTCTTGCAAAGAGTTTATAGTTCACAATAGCAACCAAATTACCACCTTAAATCAACTTCTAATAAGATCCATTCAGAAGATTTGCATAAAGCAAATATTTTATCCATTAATGGTAAAAAAAGGCATTTCCTCGCTGTTTCCTTAATGGTAGATATCATATTAATGTTTAGAAATTGAAGGAATGTTAGTTTTATTAAAGAAACTGGACCTTTTTTTCTGCTAATGGCAGAATATTCCATAAATATAGCATAACAAATTAGAATTAAGTTGCAAACTGAGGAAATCTTTGGCAAATTAGCAACAAACAAACTATAATACCTCAGTAGGTTCAAGGTATCCTGCAGCCTCAGCAAAACATTTCTCCAGAGGAGGCAAGAGTTCAAGGATGTGGGCATTAGATAGTGCATTCCAGGTAGCAAGACGGACAGGCACTTCAACTGTGCGATGTAAATACATTGTTACTTGACGTCCATAAATTACATCACCATAAGATACAGCAGCAAACTGCTCAATGAAAGTCTCAATAAATGTAGGGTAGCTTTCATGAACCTCAGACTGAAACTTTAGAAATTCTACTTTGCAGTTCTTTGTAGAATCTGACACTAAACACTCCTTTTCCATGAGAGGGATATCTCTACTACCTCTTGACTCATCAAGCATCTTCCCATATAACTCCTGTAAAGTATTATATATATCCCTGCTTCTCTCTTCTTCAATCACATCCATTTTAACAAGTAAGACCATGGACAAAGAGTGTAGCTTCCAAACCAGTGGTATGGCCCAAACAGGTGACTGTTGGACATTATTGCATAAGAAAGAGGACATTGCCTCAAGGCTTAAAAGAAAGAAGAGACCACTTTTCGCAACTGCAACAACTTCATCAGAAGGTGAAGATGTGTCATTTTGTTTGTTGAAAGCATTTGGAAGTTCAAGAGCAGCTTTGCTGTCACAAATGGTTGAGATAGGGCTGAGAAACCAATGCATGGGAAGTGGCAGTCTCTGGTGAACCCACTCTACTATCAAAGAAGTGCAAAAAGGATGATTATCAGTCCCATAAGTTATGTCAGAGTCTTCATGAATGGTCTCCAATACACCATTAACTTTCTTATGTAGTTTATGGACATCACTACTGTTTTTAGGCTTCTTTACAGACAACCATCTCTCTTTGAAATGAGAAGATAAAATCTTACTGAAGTAAAGGTAGTCCTCTTCCTTATATTTCCAGGTGAATGATTTGATACCGTTTGCAAGGTGAAGAAATTGGTTAACACAGTAATCAAGGTACTTTAGGGTAGGGGCTCTAAGTAAGATATCTAACGCTTGCTCCATAATAATTTTATTCCTTGGTCCAAGAATCAAAAAGACTCCTAGAATAGAATTTATCTTCTGTAGATTGAATGTCATGTCTTCAACTTCTGTGATCTCTTTCTCAACCACCATCTTAAAGATTTCAAGCAAGTGAACAAGTAAACAGGCATCCATTTGTGCAAGCAAAACAGTTATGGACCAAAACCCTCCACCAGAGGCACCCCAACCTAGTCCAACTCCTGGAGCAGGCCCCGCTCTACCAAACACCTCAATGAACTGTACATATTGCCATCCTGAATCCACTGACTTCATGAAAGTAATTAGTAGGCTTCTTAATTCTTCCCGACACCACATTACCATGCCATCCTCTAGTATTTTACCCTCTCTTGAGATGCTACATCCTTGGGAGGATGGATTAATATTCTCATTCTTGGCTACCTGAATGAATTTGTCAATAGAAACTATAAGTTGGACCAGTCCTTTAAGGCAACATGTAGCAGAAAGTAATAATTCATTATCACCATCATGTCTCAAATGGCATAAGTTTTCAACAAAAGAACCCTTGCCATTAGGAGCTTCTACATATTCTGTATCACTTGATGAAAAGTTCAGAAATCTGTTATTCACAATTTCAAGCCCAATCTTAGGGACAAATTTTGGCAACCATGGCACACGACCACCACTTTTACCCAGGCTATCAGTATTCTCTGGAGCAACTCTATTAACTACACTTGAAAGCATGTGCATGACAGCTGAAATCACCCACAGTAAACAACTAAGAGAAGAATCTTGGACAGCAAAATAAGTAGTGGTTCCTCTGTGCCAGTCAAGGATTTTAGATATAAAGGGGTTACTCTTCAAGGATATCCACTTCAGAGCTAACTCAACCATTGCACCAGCATAGCTCCAAGACCATGTCTCTATATCCTCATCAGCAGAATCAAGGGTTTGCTTTTTGAGTTCCTCCCCATAATGAAGATATGGGAGTCTTCTGGCCAAGGCATCCAGAACAAGGTATGCTTCTCTGGTGATGGAAGCAAATTCACTGAGGACATTGTTCTCAATGAGCTTATCAAACATAGGGGGACACAACCACAGGGATAGTGCAGGGAAAAAATCTCTGAAGTAAGAGACACAATACGAATACTGGATGCAAACCTTCCAAAAGCGCAATTGTTCAACCATCAATGCAGACAGAAGTCTACAGTGTTCCTGCCCTGATTTGATCCACTGATCAATAGAAAGTTCATACCGGTATAAATGCCACATTGTATTACGGAAAATGCCATTCTTTATAAAATGTATGCAATTTCTCTTGTCAGATTGTGACAATACCTGCTTACAAAAACAAATGTCTGCATCACAGTTGAACATAAGAATTGAACATAAGATATATGAATTACTATATCTTTCTTACCTTTAAGAGGGTTACAGACTTTATCTCAGAAGGATGTATCTCCACTGTGTCCTTCTTGATGAACCTGTCAACAACTGTTTGAACAAGCCTTTCACATTTCATTATTGCATTTGCACATGTTGGGGAATGCCTTGCTATCTGAACAAGTATAGAAATAAGGCATTCTTCCAAAGCTGCAGAAGGATCTGTCTGAAGCCAAAGACACCAAGCATTTAAGAAAACATTAGCACCATTCTCAACCAACAGTGACATTGTGAAGGGAAAGTACTAAGAACAATCCCAAGCAGGAAATAGCAGTTCTTAATAAACACATGTCAGGTCAGGAAAAAAAAAAAGATCGGTAACCAATCAGGCACTGTATTTAAAAAGAATATGGGAACCAGTCTTGAAAAAAGATCAAAGTGTACAAAATAAGAAAAAAGTCTATTAACCCTCACAAAACAAGCATAACAAAGAGCTATCTCAAAGCCACTCTCCCCCAAAACCACAAGAGTACCTGGAAAGAAAAGAAAAGGAAAAAAATGAGAAGACCATATAGTAATCCAATAGAGTAAGACCTCCAATTCTATGTACTCCTTCCCTTGGTAATGAATCAGCAATAGAGTATCCTGATCTTGGAACTCAATTGAATGAAGCACTCAAGTTCATGATCAAAGATCTAGCTTCCCTAATGAGGTGTCTGCATCCCAACCATTAGAGTTTATACTATGAATGCTCTAAACTACATTATGCCACACCCCGCCATAATCCAGAAGGAATCTCCACAACCAGTTGCCCCATAAGGATGTAATTATTAAACATAGCCTTCCTAGGGCCTTTATTTGCTAACTTGTTGCTAACTATGCCCCAGTTAACATGATAATCCTTTTAGGTACCCACAGACTCTCACAGAAAACCTTGCCTGATTTCCTCAACCTTCTAGTTAATTTCACCAGCGCTTCAAAAACAAGAAAGAAATTGACAAAGAGGCTAAAAGAAGTATATTTAAGAAAAATGACATTTCCCCCTCGAGAATAACAGTGTTTCTCTTCCACAATGCAAGTTTCTCCAAGACATGGGGTTCTCACCTATTGGAGAAACCAAGACAGCTCATAGGCCATGGAAAAGTTTAACAACCTAAAATACCAGCACAAGAATCCAAAACACCACTTAGAGGATGGAGGGTAGGCAGAAATGAGGTGGTAGTCACCCACTTGCAGTTTGCAGATGACATAATGTAGAGGAATTAAGGAATTTGAAGGATATCATTGTTACTTTCAAATCAATTTCTAATCTGAGAGTGAACTTGGGGAAGAGATATGTAGTAGGGATTAATGTAGAGGAAGAATTAAGAATGTTAGAAGAGATTCTAGGGTATGAGGTAAGGATGTTGCCATTGGATTATCTTGGTCTTCCACTAGGAGGAAACCCAAGGACAAAAGATTTTTGAAGTTGGTAGTAGAGAGATTCACTAAAGCTATGTTTGGTTTGAAGGGAAAGGTAGGGAAAGGAAGGGAAAGGTAAGGAAACCTTTACAAAGCTTGTATTGGTTTCCTTACCTTTCCCTCCCTTTCCCTACTTTTTCCTTCAAACCAAACACAGCTTAAGAGATTAGCACTCTTGAAAAGAAATTACATTTCAGTGGGTGGAAGAATAACCTTGATTAGGGAAACTTTAGATAATTTACCTATTTACTACCAGTCCACCTTTAGGATTCCAGCTAGAGTTGCGAGTTCGCTAGAGACGATCATGAGAGATTTCCTTCAGGAACCAGGGGACGAGAAGAGGGACCATTTAGTAAAGTGGGAGAAAGTTAGTAGACCCAAGGAGCATGGAGGGCTTGGAATAGGGAGCGCAATTTGTTGAAATCAGCACTATAGGGAAATGGTTATGGAGGTTTCCACTGGAACCCCCTATTTGGTAATGTTGTCCATTCATTCATCCTACTAAAATATCTTCTTAAAAAGCAATTAAAATTATAAAATCATTATTTTTGTGTGAGAACTAAGAATTTAGGACCCTAACACGGACTTATTTGGGCTTGCCTCAAGGGCCGCGGCACAAAGGGGACTCGTAGAATTAGGAATGTAATATGTTTTACATCACATTAGCTACTTGAAGTAATGCAATTGAAGAAAAAAAGAGATTGTGGGCTTTACATGCTTGAAAATGTTTTATATGTTTGATTTTATTTTTAAATTTTCACTTGAATACACTTTACATTTTATGTTTATGTATTTTAATTTTAGATAATAGGTTTTTTAAAAAATTTAAAAAATTATGTTTATATTTCTTATTAATATTATGTTTAATGTTTTTTTTTTGCATTTCTTTTATTTTTTTGGCATTTTTTGAATTTTTTTTATGAATGGCATTTTTTTAATTTTCCAACATTTTTTTAGCAATTTTTTGTATTTTTGCACCTTGCTTCAAAAAGGCGCATGCTCTCGCCTCAAGTGCAAATTGGCCCTTGTCCCTTGCGCTTTTAAAACACAAAACCTTACACCTGTGTGAAACCAGAGCCCTCTCCAATGTCTCCATCCCCCCCGCAGACTCCTCTTCACTTCCAACCGATATTGCCTTCTATTAGTCCAATGGAACAACAAAACCAGCATCCATTGAAAAGTCTGGTCTCTCCTTCTCATCATTCCTTTCCTCTACTGATCTGAATGCTTCCCTTGCAAACTCTACCCTTCCTAAGAAGAATAATCCCAAGGTTTTGCTAACCTCCACTTCCTTGCCAACTACTTTCTCAATGTCAACAACCTTTTCAACTTGATAAGTCTCATCAATGATTACTGTAGAAACCACTGATGTGGTCCCCACCTCTTTCTATTGTACTCGTATACAACTACTAGTTATTCAAGTGTCAGTCCACAATTAGTTGTTAGTCTTTTATTAGGACTTTAATTGTTGTCTTTTATTAGGATTTTAATTTTGCCATGTAAGCAGTTTTATCCTTACTTCAGAATTAATATAAATAGAAAGAGGGGGGCGGCAGATTAAGCATCCTCTTCTTTTCTGAAATCCTTCCTTCGAAATCTTCTTCTCTTCTTTTCTCTTCTCCTCTCATTCTCTCCTCTCATCCTCTTAATTTCCTATTGATTATACACCACAGCTTGAGCTGTTAGTAGTCTCATACAACTACATGGTATCAGAGCCAACCTAGGAAATCTTATGATAGTCTGACATGGCCGGCTGCATAAGAATTTCCTAGGGTTGGAAAATTTCCAGCAAAAAGGATCATCGGCTAAGTCTTGGAGATTGTTGGTGAAGCATCAGAAGATGACCAGCAATCAGGAAGAATCAGAAGGAAGAACCCTCAAGATTAGGGTTCAGACTTGATTTTGAAGGTTGCGGCCAAAAAGTCGGAAGGAAGAACCCTCAAGATTAGGGTTCAAACTTATCTTTGAAGGTTGTGGCCAGAGTTTTTCTGAAGTAAGTCAATCTTTTCTATTAAAAAGATTACCTTTTCTGGTTATTTCAAAGGTTCGACTGAAAGTTTTTTTTCCTCTCGTACTGTTCTTGATACATTAAAAGAATAGTTTTTTGGTTACTTTAAGAGGTGCGGCTGAGAGATCCCCTCCTTTGCTAGCCATTAATTGTGTTCTTGGCTTGTTTCTTGACCTTTGACTGGTTCTAGGTTCAATATTCTAGTTTCTTGACTGTCGCCAATTCTAGGGCTGCAGTTAATTTCAGTCTTGCACTCTCAGCCCTGCACTCTAAGTTGTACTTGAAAGGTTACCTTTTTGGGTGGATTTCCGACCTAGAAGGATAAAGTAGGTTTGGTTGATAGCAAACTCTGGGTGTAATTACCTAGTCTCAGTGATACAAAAGGCAGTTGTTAATCTTTTCTTGACAAAGAATGGAGCTTAAGAGCCAAGGGGATAACTGTTTAGGGGCTGGTGGTACTGGTAGCATACCTGAGAACAGTTTTCAGATTACCACTATAAAATTTGATGGGTCAAACTACCTAGAGTGGGCCCAATCAGCTATGATGGCTATTGGGGGTAGAGGAAAGCTAAGTTATTTACAGGGAGATGTCAAGGAACCAACCAAGGAGGAGCAAATATATACCAAATGGGTTCAGGAGAACTATTTGGTTATGACATGGCTGTGTAACTCCATGCAGCCACATATCATCCGAAATTATTTATGGGGAAAAACAGCTAAAGAAATTTGGGATATCATGAAAGAAACATACTCCCAACCCCTCAATGTTGCTAGGGCCTATGAGCTAAAATGTAAGGTGAATAACCTTGAGCAAGAAGAGAAGCCAATCTCGGTTTATTTTTCCACCTTGAAATCCTTGTGGCATGAGATTGATCACTTAGATACAATTGAGTGGGAAAGCCAAAAGGATGCACAGACCTATAGAAAGCAGGTTGAAACCAATAGGGTATTTGAGTTTCTAGTTGGTCTGAATTCCGAGTATGACATTCTAAGACAACAGTTTCTAACAAGAGACAATGTGACCCTATCACAAGCTTACTCTCTAGTGCACAGTGAAGAAAGTAGAAGGAAAGTTATGTTACAGCATTCACCACTTGAATCAGCCTTGGCAGCAACTAAACCCAAGTTTGGGGAGGATAAGGAGAGAGATATGAAGAAGGAAGACAAGAAGGACCTAATATGTGAACATTGCAAGAAACCTGTAGGAAGCTACATCCTCATCTAGTTCCCGCAAACTCAAGAACAAAAAGGGGAATGCTAATACAGTTGTTACTACTGATTGTACAGCCTCATCAGGCACAAGAGCAACACCACTAGATACTCTAGCTGCTGTCCGAGCTGCCTTGACTCAGTTGGAAAAGGAGGTTGGTAATTCAGCGTCATCATCTCAGCCAGTCACAACATCAGCTCCTCCCACCTCAGCATTTGCTCATTCAGGTACACGGGCCTCGGCTTATCATGCTTCAGCTCCAGGTAACACTAAACATTGTTGGGTAATAGACTCAGGTGCATCTGATCATATGACTAGACCTGTTCATGGGTCGGGCCGGGCCGGGCTCGGGTCGGGCTTTTGCTCTTTATTAACATAAACTTTTCAGGCCCGAGCCCGGCCCTCAAAAAAGCCCGAAGTCCGACTTGGGAGTCTGAGCGCCGGTGCCGTCTGAGAGAATGGTGCTTGTTGAGTTCGCCGATTCCTGGGAGTCTGAGAGTGAGAATAGAAACCTAGAAAGTGAGAAAATAGAAGATGACAACACACA